ATTGTATGACCTGAGAAGCCACTTAGATTGATCTTTGTGTACTTGAAATGGTGAGAGCATGGGTATGCTTTATATTATTGATATGTTATGTTTGAATTAATTGTGAAGCATTGATATTCTATTATTGTATAAATTGTTAAGCATTGGTATGCTGTTCTTGGTTGAGATGTTAAGCATTGATATGTTATTATTATATGAATTGTTAAGCATTAGTATGTTGTTCTTGGTTGAGATGTTAAGCATTGATATGCTATCATTGTATAAATTGTTAAGCATTGGTATGTTGTTATTGGTTGAGATGTTAAACATTGGTATGCTGTTATTGGTTGAGATGTTAAGCATTGGTATGTTGTACATAATTGATGTTGTTGATCTCTATATGCATTGACTGGATGTAATGTATATAGTAGATGTTTGATGAGGTGTGGATGCTAAGAATGCAGTGTGGCATTATAGCATGATGGCTAACTTAGGATTTGAGGAGAGAAAACTATTTTGAAAACTGAAGATCCCGCATAGGGTATCTTGGAGTGGTGCACAGGTAGGCCACTGTTTGGAAAACCCTCCTTGAGTGGTGTATCTCTTGGAGTAGGTTTTGAGGTGTGTCAAGTCTCCTCTAAATCCTTAATTAGTGGTTGAGTAAGGTAGGCGGTCAAGGGCTACAACCCTTAACCAAGTACCTAGAAAGGTTGGGTGGTTCCTTAAGGATAATCAGTGGGTGAATTCCATATGTGACCTGGTAATGCATTCCAAGGTCTTGGTAATCCTATACCCAACTGTACTACTCTTGACGGTGGAACCGGACTTTCCTAGTGTAAGTGATGAGACCTGAGAAACCAGATGAGGGATTGGTATCCCATTTTGCTATGATTGAGCTGGCGTTTCGGGTGTGAAAATGATTGGGTTGGTTCGGTAGGGTGGAAATCACTTAGATTGCTCTTGTTGTTAGGAGATCTGCTAGTTGTATATGCGTGACGACACATTAGTTGATGTTGTATTTGTTGTTGCATTCAAGTTGCATATAATGTTATATCAATGAGTTGATAGTTGAATTATTGTGTTAAAAACTATGTGATTGTGTTGTGATGATGAGTTGTTGATCACTAGGACTAGAGGAGAAGTTTTCAAAGTTGTTTATCCCATTGTGCGGATTGAGATAGTTGTGGTGCTCTATGAGCCCAATTTGTTGAAAAACCCTCCTTGGGAATTTGTCCCTTGGAATGGGTGATGTTTTGTTCTCCTCTAAGACTTAGTCGGTCCCGTGTGTGGGCAAGGTCGAGGCACACGTGTATGAAGCGACTACGGTATAGGGACCAGGCCGAGCTATACCGATTACAAGCGGCCAATTTGAGTAAAGTATAATGTGTTGAAAATGTTATTGCTATTATGATGAGTTGTCTAATAGTTTGCGTTGGGGTGTTCATATTGTGTTGATCAGTGTTGATGTGTTGAATTAAGTTGAATTAAGTTGAAATAATGTTAAGATGTGTAGTATGTGTGTTGTTTGTCCTCTGTGTTGGACGTGAAGATGATTATATAGTTGATAGCGTTGCATATTTAATTATTATGAGTTGTTTATTGTCTCTAGCTTACCCTTGCATGTTTCGATGTGGTTTGGACTGCGATGATCATACAATGTATGGGAGCAGGGTAGGGATAGGCTGAGAGATAGCTGCTAGAGGCCACAGGTGCCTAGAGTGGATGTTTCTTTTGTAAGCTACCTTATAGTAACATATTTTGTTATATATAGTAGATTATTGTTGGTTGTTTGCTTGACAACTTGTTTTGTAGATATTTTTATTATACTATTTTAGTATATATTCTTGTAGTGTGTAGTATTGTTCCTTAGTATGACGGCCATGACGGATCATTACACTTTACTTTTTGATTTTATTTTATTTTATTTTATTTTTATATTTTTATAACTTTATGTATCTCCCTTTGATTTCTCTCTCTGTTTTTATCTCTCTTTTAATATTGAGAGAATTTTTTTATGAAATTTTCTTAAAATGTTGTTTTACTTTTGTTTTCATCTTTTTTTTCTTCCAATATTTTAATCAAAAAATTATCATTTTTTTTTTCAATATATTTTTTTACAAAGATTTGTACAGAGAACAAAAAAAGAAGCTGAAAACAAAGTGACAGTTTTATATAATTTAAAAGTGAAAAAAAAAAAAAAAACGCAAGTGAAAGAATCCTAAATTTCTACCTTTTTTCAAGAATACAGTTTTGCATAAATAGTTATAATTCTATGATAATGACCTCATGACCTTTGAAACATAAATTAGCCATATGTAAATAATAATAATAATAATAATAAAATTTTTTTAACTAACCTCTATTAAAAGACTGTGAGTGTATAAAAAATATATATTAATCATAAAAAATTTACTTAAGTGATATGAATTGTTACTATCACTGACCAATTATATATATATATATATAGTTCAAATAAAATTTTAGTAGTCACGTACGTGACTATTTAAAAAAATAATACACATTTATTTCTCAATATTTTTTACTATCCACGTAAGATTCAGTTATCAAAATTCATTGTTACCCTTTCTATAGGCATGCAATTAAAAAAATTAAATCTCCACCACATAATAAATTACCTTAAACCTTTACCTTACCTGAAAAGATATTTAATCACGATTTGAATGAGCTCACAACTCTATTACCGTTACCAGATTTTAAAATTTAAATCATGGTAACTCCATGACAGATAAAACATTTCCAAAGCCATCGATATGAATAATACTGTAGTAATTAATAAGTTGTTTTAAAAAATATTAAATCCATGAAGAGCTAGGTACTGTTTCATACTCTATCAATTATCATTAAGATCACAATGGGGAAAATTGAATGTGATTGGACTCTTTCTCACACCACAATGTTGACTCACATTAATTGTTTCTCACGTACTTTCACTGCTATAGGGATAGGAAAATGCTTTTCTTTAATTTGTTGAGTTATATTATATATGGTTCAAAAATATATGTAGGCAAGATAATCACCATATACCTACTCATAATCTAATCCAAGTTAAGTTTATGAGTAGACCTCTAATTTAGGTTAGCCCATTTAATTTGAATAAATAACCTTGAGAGTTTTAATTTTACTTTTAAATTTCTAGTAAATTTATCTTACAGATTTGAATTAATTCATCGTAAACACGTGGCACTGTAAGTTCCAACTTGTTTTTTTTTTTTGAAACAGCAGTAAGTTCCAACTTGTTAATATATTGGAATTTCCTTTTAAAACTAATTGAAATTGAAATGAAGAGAAAGCCCTTAATCAATCCTTTTAAAAAAGACATGCATTGCCACCATACCACTCCTAAAAATATTTGGTCAAATAAATTATTTGTCATTCAAAAATTTAAATTATTGCCTTATTCATTCTCAAAGAATTTTATGACCAAATTATTCTTCAAAGATTTTTCATCAAAACTTTAGAAACTTATAATATTATCATATAAACTTTAAAGTTGTGTTTAGATGAAAGTGAAAAGAATAGAAATAAATAAGTGAGAAAAGAAAAGCAGTGAGAAATAAAATGAATTTTGAAGTTGTTTGGTATGATAAAAGTAAAAGAGAGATGAAGAAAAATTATCTTTTTATTAGTTTATGTTAGATTAAATAAAAAGTTTAAATGATATAATAAATTAATTTATAATATGGCACTTTATAATTAAGTTATTTATTTAAATATTTTTATTATTAAATAAGTAATTATAATCAATTATAAGAATGTTTAGAAAGTACTAAAATATATGAGATCCATGTAATTTATTATGTGTTGAACATAATTGATTATATGGACTTCTAAAAAGCATCAAAATACATGTCAATCTATGTAATCAATTATGTTCATCAAATAATTGATTACATAGATAGGTCAAGGCTCCTGAAATTATGGAAAACATACCATAATCGATTCTAAATGCATACCTTGACATCACAAAGATATTATCACTTTTGGAACTCAAATTTTGCGTTACATAATGTGTTTGGTAGTCCATGTGATTCATGTTTTCTCAAGTTTTAACGTCTAAAATACTAAATTGATGGAGAAGTAAATATATGTTACTTTTGATTGATCCACATCTAACTTAAACCAATGTGAAACCAAACAAAGTTAAAGTCATATATATCATGTGAATATTTGCATATATATAATAAAAAGTCATTCATGCTGAATCAGTTAGACGCTTTTCATGGGGAAACAAATTTTCCCTAAAATTATGAGACTATTTTATGCACTTTCCTATAAAAAGTAGTATCACTCTCACATCTTTCTCCTCTTTTCTTTTTCTTTTTTATTTGGAGGTAAATCTCTTCATATTGAGTTTAACTTATTTTAAGAGTAAAATAATATTTCTGATTGCTATTTTATTTTAGTTTATAGACAAAAAAATTTGATACACCAAGATAAAATCCTTAAAAAAATTAGCAAAAGTGAAATCTATTAAAAAATTAAGAATATGAGAATCAAATATTTAATAAAAATCACATATATTTTTACATGAGTATCTCTAAAACAAATTCAAAATCATTGGCTAAATCAAAAGAAATTGTGCCGGTTGATCTATACATTTAATGATCATTTTTTTAAACCTAATTCTACATTTAAATTTTGAAAATTCAATATACGCTCCTAATTTTAAAATGATAAAAGAACACCTTTATTTTGAATAACATAATAATAGGTTGACGTGATGGTCTACCTTCACACAGCGAAAAATAATTTTTCTAATTAAAATTTTTGTATTCAATCTTTAATGCATGAAAAAACTTTCAAACCACTAACAATCATAGTATGCTAGTGAGAATATGATAACATAAAAATTAACGTGATTTTAAGTGAAACGTGACAAGTTATTAGTGTAGTCTTAAATAATAGATGGCAAGTGCCAGAAGCATGCATATAGGGATATTGCATAACATAACATGGGTAAAACGTGGGAATGAAATGATAGAAACGACGTCGTGTGACCCCCCCCAAACCGTACAACACGCATTTTCCGCTATAAATCGATTCCAGCTGCAAATGTTCCCTTCCTCTCCTTTCTCCTAGCTCCCACTTACGTTCATTTCTTCTCTCTCAGGTTTCTCTCTCTCTTCTCTCTCTGAAATGTTCTTTGTTCTAGATCTGAACATGTTCCAAACATCATAGTTTCTTCAAATTTTGGCATAGATGTCTCTTAGGTTTGGAATGTCAAACATAACATGTTTTTTGGGACAGATCTGCTACACGTTACTATGTTGTCTTTTTTTATTTTTTATGTTAAAAAATGTATTTTTTTAGGGTGGTGATTGGAGATTTATTATGAACTCTCCTTTTGGGTTCTGGGTCTTGATGCTTTTTGAAAACGGAGATATTGGTTTTTGTGGGTTAATTTGAACTAAAGGTTGGTTTTTTGAGAGGTGCTATCATGGGTTTGAAATCTTTTCATGGTTTGAGCTCAGATCTGTTGGTAATTTGTGAAAAATCTTGAACCCTTATCTGTTGGTTTTGGAAAATAGGAAAAGAGTGAAATGGGTCCCCCCCCCACCCCCCCTAAAGTTTGGTGTTGAGGCTGAATGGATCTGTTTGCATATTGGGTTAGGATAGTTACAAATTTTAAGATCATGCTCTCAATTTCGTTGTAAATAATAATGTTATATATGTTTGTGTGTTTGACATTTTCTGGGTATAATTTTATTTGTATAGGTTAGAAGTGCTACAATTTTTGAGATCATGCTTTCAATTTCATTGTTAATAATGAAGTTATATGTATCTGTGTGTATTTCTGAGTATAATTTTGTTGTATAGGCGTTCTTCTGTGGAATAAAGGTGATTTTGAAGATGAACTGTTATGGTCTTCAGCAGAACGCCTTTGCAGCCTGTGAAGAGATGAGAAGCTCTGTGAATTTTGTTGATCAGAAGGAGCCTGTCATTTGCCCTAAGCCGCGCCGAGTTGGGGTTGTATCCAACATGCCTGTGAGGCATTTGAGATGGCATTTCAAGTAAGTGTTGTAATCCATTGCTTCCCTTTTGTGTTTTGATGACATTAATTTGTTTTTGAAGCCTTTGAAGGTCTGATCTGTTGTGTTTCATTTTTTCTTGTAGTCAACAGGCTGAGGGTTCTGATTCAAAAGCTGGGGCTGAGCTACTAGAGATTATGTTTAAGAAGGTAAGCTGTGGCCTTTTTACAATTTGTATAGTTTGTCAATTAGGATAGTCTTGGTTGGAATCCTAGTGATGTATGAATTTAGTGTGATGCATGCTTTGTTTATTTGGGTAGGGAACTTTTGATGTATTTGAATCAAAGGTTTTAGAAACTAGTTTCTACCATGATTTTGGCTGTGACGACAAGATTTTTAGATTTTTCACAATCACATTTTGTCTGTTTCGGCTGTATTTGTCCACAATTTCCATTAATGTCAAGGATCGCGACAAATCCGCAACGGTAATTTAAAATCTTTGTTTGAAACTTTGTAGAATGGTTTTGGGTTCAAAGGAATTTAATCTTATGATAGAACTTGGTTATTAGTGAGGGGTCTTCCTGATAAATTTCATAGATCATAGATTGGAATTTTGATATAATGAGTGTTCTTTGACTTCTATAGCTTTGATTTATGAATTGGCATGTTGATATGAACAGGAGAGTCAAGGGGAGGAATTTGCAAATCAGGTAGCTTCATCTCCTCCATATTTTTGCGGGTCTCCTCCCGTCCGAGCTGCAAATCCCTTGGTTCAGGATGCTCGATTTGGGGATGAGAAGCACTGTCCGGCGTCACCGTCAGGTTTGCTATCTCCAAGTTCAGCCTCACGTAAAGGAGGATGTGTTAGGATGAGTTTTGGACTTAAACCGGCTGCAGTTAGAGTAGAGGGATTCGATTGCCTCAACAGGGATCGCCAGAATTCTAGGATCCCTGCTGTTGCTTAAACTCCATTCAGAGAAGTGTACATAGAGGGATCTGAGTGTGACTGCTTATAAAAATATGACATGACTTAACTAGGAAGAATGAATATCTTTGAGTAGTTTGAGGGAAATGCTGAAGAAGCAAACCTTGTGTTCTTGAGAAGGTTTGATGTGTAAAGAGCATCTTCTTTTTGTAATATAAGGTTGGATCTGAGTGTCTTTCAATTTTTTCTTTTTATTTTAGGTCATCACCATGAGAATGTCGTGTATAGAGTTGGTGATTTTGGTTATCAATCTTGTAAATATGTTTAGCTTAAAAAGCATGCTTATTGTATTTAATGAAAAAATTAAAATGATATTTATAACGAGAAATGCCATTCCTACTCCCTTGTTCAAGTTTGTGGTATCAATTTTGTAGTTATTTTTGGTGTGAAATAGGCCATCATTGTGATTAGAGGTAGACTAAGAATGCTTTGTTTCAAGATCATTGATAATCATGTATCTTTTATATTAGTTTGATTTAATATAGGGAAAAATCATTTGTCTCTTTAAAACTTCTATCAAGTATTGCTTTTCCTATATGTACTAGAGGTTCTTTTGAACAAGGAGTGGCTTAAGGATGATTGTTTTTATTGGAAGCGTAGCGTTTGAGATTGTTATTTGTTATGTCTTTGCACAGTATGATTGTTTTCAAAGTGTTGCAAAGATTGTTGTCTCTTAATTTTACTTGTGCAGTGTTTTTCCTAGTTTTGAGCTTCTCTTTTCAAAAGTAACTTCTTTTAATCAGTAATTTTGTGTGCAAAATATACTTTTGGCATGACAGTTAAGTATTGATTTCTATTTAAGTAGACTTCATCTAAATAAGTGTAATGTTTTAATGAAACATTTATATATATGTATGATCAGAAATTATAGTTTGGTCAATATGTTTAAGAAATTTAAGTTTTTATATTTAATTTTATTGGCTCTTTTAATAAGTTCATATAAAAGCTTTAATTTTAAGTTTTTATTTATTTAAAAGTTATTTTTATTTGAGTATAATGATTATGTAAAATGTGAATAAATTTTTATAAAATTCTATAAATTTTGGATAAAGTTTGATACAATAAATTTCAAATCAAAATTAGAGTTTTATTTTGATAATATACATTCATATTTAATAAAAAAAAATTATCATGCATGTATTTTAATTCTGATTAGAAAATAACATCAATAATATTTATAACATTGTATGTAAATTTTTTATTTGTAAATTTATTATGTATGATAATTTCTCTTTTTATTTTAAGACTTTTTTTTTAAAAAATTTATATCTAACTTAATTTCCCCACATAAGATTAGACTCAAAAAATTAAATTGTTCTTAGTGATATTAAATCCAGAATTTTTTAAATTAAGTTTCAAGTTTGAGTTTTATGTATAAAAAAAATGTTGAAAGTAAAGATTTTATTAAAAATGACCGATCAAGTTCTTTAACAAAGATTAATCATGAACAAAGTTGTTGATTACTCCATAATAAGATAATAATAAAAAAAAGTCAAAAAGTTAACAAAACAGCAAATTCTTTCGTAATCAAATGTCAGTGAGTGACCAACAAAAGATAGTAATATCATATATGTTCCATATGGTTGAAGGAAGTGATGCGTGAGGCACTCATTGTTTGCATTTTCTTGTGTTGGTAATAATTAAGTACAAAATTAGATGTCACTCAACACCTTTCTTGTGAATTACTATTAAAATCTTATACTTTTTAAGTAAAGCGTGAGAGAATCATGTCCATTTAATATTTACACTATTAGAGGAAATACTAATAATGTTATAAGTCAATGGACAGAGATATTTCAACGATTCCAAACCTAGAATAGCAGCAAGGAATAAGCCTCTGTTACACTACTCTCTTGCTCACCCATCTGAACTCTATCTTGTTGCCAAGTCAACTGCAGTTTTCCACTGTTGCTGCAACTTTCAGCAATGTTTGTTGCTAAGGCAATGTTAGAATTTGTTTTGGATAAGTTTTTTTAGAATTATTTTAGGAGAAAAATCTAAAAAGAAAATTAAAATAAGTTTTTCTATATATGCTAAATTAACTTGTGCATAAATTAGAAATAAGATTAATTAATTTTTGTTGGGATAAAAACAAGTCCCACGTGAATAAAATAAGACAACAAATAACAACTTATATAACACAAACATACTTTAATGACAGGGAGGCCTTTTGGGTGATTACCAAAAGCAAAACCTTGAGAACTTTGACCCAAAGCAGACAATATCTCATCCTTGTGCAGTATGCTTGTATAATAACTTTATAAAAATAACTCCATCAATTTTAGTTTGTGAAAACATTTGTTTTATTTTCTTTTTATTTTTCTCATCTGAAAGTGTTTATGAAAATTTTACTAAATAATAACCCTTAGTTGTCTCAATCCTCTAACTTCATTCTTCTTTGTTATTATTTGCATTATACCCCACGGGAGAGGTAAAATGTCTCTCTTCTAGTACTATAGTTGACGCATTAAGGTAAGGTAGGGATTAACGACAATGTTATTGATTTAGTTAAGAGAACGTGGCCAATTTAAGGATGTATGAGAATCAAAAAAATTTATAAGACTTTTTGGTGAAAATAAAATTTAGGTACAATATTTTAGTTATCGTTAATGTTGTTTTTTAATCAAAGTTGAAATTTTATTTTGATTATATATATATATATATTAATAAAACTTGCATTAAATGTAAGTGTATAATATTGAAATAAAACCCTAACTCTAATTAAAAAAAATAACATCAATCACACTTAATAAATTGCACTAAAATTTTGTCCTTTTAGACAATATATAATACATTGGAATGCAATGTATTCACCATTAAGAGTTATGTTTAGTGAGAGAGGTTATTAATCTTTTATGATTTGAGTTTCAATCAAAAAAGATACTCAATATTATGGTATATTTTGTATGTAAGAATATTGAGAGGAAAAAAATATGGATAATAATTTTTTTTTATTTGATAGGAATGAAAGTTGTACAGGTAAGGGCGTTCGGCCACCACATAACCGAAATCCTATCGGTCACCTAATAGAAGAACCTGGTGGCCGACACCCAATCGGCCACCAGGATCGTCCTACACTTGATTATTACCCTTAATCAATAATTAGGGATTAAGTACACCGATAAACCGATTAAGGCGTATTACCTAATACGGTAAGAATGTTGCAGGACCCATGGGGTTCAGGGTCCATAAATGTCAGTATAAATAGCTCATGTCACGAGGTAATGTCACTGTTCATTAATTATTATCGATATCTGTGCTTGTCCTGACTTGAGCGTCGGAGTGCCTTTTGCAGGTACATCCCCCTCACCGGAATATTTGATCGGAGCTCTCGTTCGGTCCTTTTGAGTACGAGAAGATTACTAGTGTGCCCTTCAGACAGGTACATTTTGGCGCCCACCGTGGGGCCGAACCGAGATAGTTGTGGTGAATATTAACAAAGTAAAGCAATGGCGATTACAAGAAGAACGAATGCGGAAGATCACCAGACCCAAGAAGAACGTGTTGAAGTTGTAGACGAAACCGATCTCTCCGAGACCGTTCGTCTGTTGAAACAAGAGATGGCTATGATGAAGCAACAGTGGGAGAAAGATGCAAAGGAGCTTTCGACCTTAAGGGCCGAAAATGAGGTGCTGAAAAATCAAGATTCGTCGTGGAAGCCTACTCAGACTACCAACACGCAAACTCAGGGGTCCTTTCAATCCCAGCGGGTCCATACCTCGGCCCCTCATGCCTCGGCAGCGGTGCCTGAAAAATTCCCTTCGGCTCAACCTACAGTTGGTCGTCCTACAGACTTGGCAACCATTGGATCGCACCGCCACCCTTTTACCCCCTTCATTATGCAACTTCCTCTCATGGACAACTGGAAATCCTTGCCTATTGACAATTATGACAATACAACAGACCTTGATGAACATCTTGATATTTTTCTAACACAGGTAACGCTGAGCACGACTGATGATGCTGCCTTGTGCCGGATCTTCCCAACATCCCTCAAAGGCAGGGCCCTAAGTTGGTTCACTCGGCTCCCTCCCAACTCTATCGACTCATTTAACACTCTGTCATCGCAATTCACCATCCAGTTTGCAACGAGTCGTCCTCACAGCTTGATGTCTCTATCGCTGGTTGGTCTTCGGCAAGACAAGAAGGAGTCGCTTCGGACTTTTATGGATCGGTTTAACAAGGCAGCCTTGGAAATCCAAGACCTCAATCCCGCCGTTGCACTTCATCACCTCACAACGGCCTTAAAGCCTGGACCGTTTGTCAATAGCATCTGCAAAAAGCCTCCTTCGGACATGAACGACCTACGGAGGAGGCCGATAAATATATGCAAATGGAAGAATTGGCTGAATACCGCAATCAAGCTCGAGAACCATTGGGCAAACCCGAAAAACAAGCAGAACAACCATACAGGGGGCGAGGAAAGGAGATAAATCTTCGAGATCGACCTGCACGAGGTCCGAAGTACACTCACTATACTCCCCTCAATGCAAGCCGAGCCGCGGTACTTGAGCAAGCTTTGGCATCGGAAGTGCTGGCAGTTCCGAAGAGAGTTTCCACTTCACCAGGCGCTGATACTAGTAAATCTTGTCGGTATCACCGAAATCGTGGCCATTCTACCGAGGAGTGTGCGACTCTCAAAGAAAAAATTAAAGATTTAATCAAACAGGGCCAGCTTCATAAATTTGTTGATCGGCCCGACTCGTCTCGGTCTCGCCAATATCAATCTAGACACGACCGGCCTCGGCCAGACCGTTCTGATAGACCTCGCCGCGAACGAAGTCGATCACGTGATAGGAAGGATGAGCCTACAGCTTCCCGTAGGCGAGTCATCAACACGATCGCAAGGGGATTCGCTGGCGGAGGCCCAACCTCTTCAGCCCAAAAGAGGCATTTGCACGCCGTCCGGTCAGTCAATGCAGTTGACAGGCAACCTGCTCGGAGGTTACCAGCCATCACTTTCACCGATGCCGATTTCCAAGGCATTGACCCTGTGTAGGATGATCCCATGATGATTAGCGTCGAAATCTACAATTGCATAGTCAAGAAGACATTGGGGGATCCGGGCAAATCGGCGGATATCTTGTATTGGAATACTTTCAAACAATTGGGTATCTCTGAAAATGAACTCATTCCATATGACGACCCCATAGTCGGATTCGCAAGAGAAACGGTAAGTACCAGGGGGTACATTAAGCTTTTCACTCGTTTTTGTTTTGATGAGCAGGAGTATAAAGACATCCAAGTCAAGTATATAGTAGTGCACGCTAATACGTCTTACAATATTCTTCTAGGACGACCATCATTAAATATGTTGGGCGCAATCGTTTCCACACCACATTTGGCAATGAA